GATTTAGGACGTTTTTCCCATTGTAAATTACCTGCAGTGCTTTTACCGATTTTTAAATTCAGGGACGCCTCACAATATATTCAGTCCTTATTCCATTAGTCACAATAGAGTAATAACTAACAACATATTTTTTGAATTACGTTTATGATTGTGTAATTGTAATAATAAAAAGCTCACATATCTTTCACAATGGTATTATACATACATGTATATTAAAAAAAAGTATGCCTGCAAAAATTAAGTAAATTACTGAAATACTAATCGAAATCACTATTTGCAGTACATATCAAAATCGTTTTGTAAAATGTCGCTACTGTCATCATTATTGATATTAATAATAAATTGTTTAAAATTTGATGATAGATACGAATTTTCTGTATTAATTACTTGTCGAATACAGTTCCTCCAAGTCTTGACCAATTTTCGACACTTCTTGCTTGATCTGTGATCAAATGATCATATTCATGATTTTACGCTTAATCTTGGTGTTTTATTATTTTGTCTTATTTTTATTTTTAGCTCGCTCTATACCAGCACTATACGATTAAACACGCATTAATAGATAGTTACTGTGTCTATAATTATTGGCAAGTTCATCAATAACATATTTCGGGGAATGTTTAATCTTTGGTAATATTCAATAGATAATTCTTTGTTACCTTCTCTTTTGGAATATCGGTATTGTTGTCTTTTATACATTTAATTTGTTATCTTTGCGTGTTGTCGTTGGCTTTTTAATGACTTGGAATGGTATTTCGCCTTGTCCATAACTATCACGGAATTTCGTGATAAAGAAATCAAAAACTGTTCCACAAGTCAGCTTTAAAAAATAATGTCACTTATATCCTCACGATAGTCGGCTGCAACATTTTAATATTTATGGCAGATAAAGGAAGTCCATTTCGTGTCCAACCATTACTTCCACCAGCATGGAGGATTCTTCTAGAAAGAGCCGTATCTAAACTGCAGTCCTTTGTGCCATCAGATAAACCTTTTTTCAGCACGTCATTTTTTTATTTCCTTCTCGAAAATTTCTGATATGATAAACATACCCAAATCGCATTTTTTTAGTCGTGAAGTTTCCAGTTCCAATAAGTTTTCAAATATCTCCTAAAAGTGTTTTTGAATAATTAAATTCATATCCGTATACTTTTATTTAATCGTATGATGAGAGATTTAACAGTCGGCACTTGTTTTACTTATAAAAAATAAGTATATATTGTAAATAACTAATTTTATTTCTGCTTCTAAGTTTTGGGCGAATTTTCTAATGAGCTCACAGAACGTTCTTTTTTTTTCTTTCAAACGTTTCTTACTTTAAGATGGTGGTTACACTTAAATAAGGAATCTTAATGGAGTGGGGTAGCTTTTTACTTCCTGAGTGTAAGCTAAAAAAATAATAATCGAGACCATCGGGCGACTGCCACTTTCATATTTTCTCGACGTTTCATGACCCCCGTCTGTCGTTTGTTTATCCGTCAGTCCGTCCCTCTCTCTGTTTGTGTCGATTTTTATTAGACAGATAATCGCCGAAACTACGGAACCAATTGTTGAAAATTTTGTGTGCATATTAAGAATATCGTGTAGATGGTAAAATGTTAACTACAATTTGTGTGATCCCCACATAATTTACATAATACGTTAAATGTTATACTAGCATGTTCCACATTAGCTGTTTTCTGTTTCGACGCTTCAGAAACGTTGAAATTATGATTTTCATAACTGGTAATTGCGTACTGACTGAAGGAATGAGTGAGAGATTTGGAAGAAAAATTTCACAAACATATAAACAAGATTAGACTTCGACGGTATAGATGCAGGTTGAGGTTCTCAAGTTAAAAGAGGATTTGTGAAATACACATTTGAAATATATATAAAATAAATAGTAGGGCTAACGTAAGCGCATGATTTTGTTCCTGCATAAGTAAGTTGATAGCAGCATTTGCGGAGAAAATAAGCTATTTTACTAATTCGCTAACTACAAAATTTAATCCTGTCGAGATACCTTAAAAATAGATAGTTGATAATGATAAAAGCAGTTATGTTAATTAATTATCAATAAAAAACAGAATATCATAAATTAAAGTGTATGAGGAAACCGTCACATAATGTTTTTTGTGACGATACAATACAATTATGATAATATTTAATTTTTCAAACTTGTCGGATTTGTGTACATAATACTTGTGTTCTATATACATATTTTATGGAGCAAAGTAATTTGTCTGTAAACATCTACAGTTTTCTGTTACATATGGTTGGGTTTACCTCAATGTCAGTAACTAATTAAGAATTAACTTCGTTGTTTGTTACTATTGTTTTGTCCACTTGTATCCATTCCATTCCTTTATCTGTATTTTCCCATTTCTTAAAAATGTTTTTTTTTACATTTCTAAACATTAAAGACGTATAGCTATTGCTTTGAACTGTATCTATTGTGTTAACATACGTATTGCGTGGAACTATTTCACTGTTAAACTAAATTCTCTTAAAATACGTTTTTTTTAATGTTAAATACGAGATTAATTCTGATGACATTTGCATTTTAGTAAAACTTGTTCCTCAATGAAAAGCACAGCAAGCATTTACAAATTATAGTTAAAGAATACTGATGGTATGAGGAATTAATTTTTGTAAAGTGGACAACTGTCTCCTCGCAGAGTAACGTCTGCAACACTTCTTACATAGTTATTTATGTACCGTAAATGAATAACACTAGAACAGTCAAATCTACTTTAATTAAATCCTAGTGAGGACTGTACCATAGAGTTCCAAACATCACAAAGTTGGATAAATTGTGATATTGTGATAACCCAAACACTGAAACCCGCGAAAATTTGAAAATTTGGTCTTGAACTGTAGCCAACATTATAAAACTACTACCTATGGCTGCTAACAAAAAAAACTCCAATAGTGATTTTCATGTTTCTATAGCATTTTATACCGTACACACATTTGACCTGACCCGACCTGACCCGGCGCCTCCACCAGAAATAGATGTTGCTTCATAAAAGAATCCAGATGTTCACATCTACATGTCCAGAAAAAACCTGCCGCATATTATACGCTGTACCTACCCCTTCTTCGCAAAAAGCCAGCTATTTAACCAAGCGAACGTGGGTCTTCCCATGAATAGATTTCAATTGAATTTCAAATCTTTTTTATTTTACTATTTATTAAGCTAGACTCTATGAAGAATTTCATAACAAATAATTTACGTGAACTTAAATTATGCATTAATTCAAGGGTCGGTCGGCGAGGGCTTGATGGTCCGGGTCTTGCCAATATCTTGAAGGTTGTGACGTAGCTCGTATAACCTCTTCTCACAGTTCAAGACTTAATTTTTAATGGAGGTTTTCAGCATGGAGGTCCCGAAATCACATACAAACAAACCCATTTGAAATAAACCCATCAGGTAGATATTAAACACGATCAAAATCAAAATAATACTTTGAGAATAAATGCTCAAGTTGGGGCCGCAAAAAAGTAATGACTTTGAGACTACAATGATATTAACGTAACAGATAATAAATTTCAAGGTCTTTTCTCTCAAAATCTATCAACGTTTACGAATAGTTTAAGTGCTATGAACGAATTAATTATTACAAATGTCGAGTGAGAAGTTATGAAGTGTGGATCATATAACAACTGAAGTAAAAGATAAAGAATTTAAGACATATCGCTACAAAAAATAAGTTGAGTCTGAATAAGTGAATTTCCTGGCACGTGTTTAAGATGAACATTTCCATTATTGTAGTTAAATTATATTAGAACAATAAACAGTTAAAAATATTGAGATGAATTATTGTGAATTTGCAAAAAATAAAACAAAGATAACACGACACGTATTGACGAACTTGCCAAAATTTCACAACATTTTAGATTAGAAAATCGCTAATTAATTGATTTTACGTTAATTACGCTCGTTGAGGGGGACAGTGGTGTCGAATGCGATTAATTTTTTTAACAATTACCTTTTGGTGAAATTACAATCTAAATTACGCATCAACAAACAATTTTAACACGTGTTTACACTCGCAACACCAAATAAGAAGTAGCTGGGCCTTGGTTCAAATGTTCTCAAATTTTGTAAGTACCTGCTTTACATTCCAACCCTCCTAAACTACCAACCTAAGGGTGGCCTTCTGTTAATCTTCCTAACAGTCTACCCATGAATTTGCCGAAGTTAGTGAAAATTATTTTCTATTTTTCAAATGTAGTTTCGTCATGTTCATTTTTTTCGGCGCAAAATTTAATTTTTCAAATCGGGACATCAAAGTATATACTCAGTATAGATTTCGATATCCAGGATGGACTATATGTTGACGGGAAAACCTAACCACTAATAAGTGACCCTTTTCAACATATCTTACTCGTAAAACATGTACAGAATGGGATAACATAATTTCCCGTTGTCTTATTTTTATGGTGTAAATATAATGTAACTTTTTTGAAGATGACGCATAATTCTAAAAGCAATAAGGAAAAATTTGCTATAAAATTTTTAAAAGCTTCACTAAAAATTCTCTAGGAGAACGTTCTCTGGATCTCTTTTCTAGAAGCTATAAATATTATCAATTGATCGACGTTACTTATTTATTTACTCACTCATTCACTTACTAATTCACTCATTTATATTAAAGTTCAAGAAAAAATTATTTAGTAAAAGTGAAATAATTATAACATCATTACAGGTGGCAGAATACAGTGTGCCAAATGGTTTAAAGTTCATGCATCGCCTTCTTTCGGAATTCGGTAACTATCAATAAATCTGACAACAAATCTATTTCTTGCATAAACTGTATTGTTAATGGACTTTATACGTAGTCCATCAAATATGAAGTAAACAACTAATACATAAAATAAATTTGATAAACGTCATCTACAAATAGCATGGTATTTGTATACATTTTGGGTATATTTGATCTTAAATTTACCAAAAAAATTTAGATTAATAAATACTTAGGATTAAAAAACTTTTTACTTTTTGTACTGTAAAAACGTTTTTTTATTTCAGTCATAACTGCATAAAACATAATAAATAAAATTTGTAGTATACATATATTATTTTTTACAATATCCCTTTAGATAACTTTATTGCAACAATTGTTAATTAGGTCCCTCCATTTATGTTTTGCTGGAAAACTAAACACATTTTTGACATATTTTGATGTTATACCTGAAAACATTTGAAACTGTGCTAAATTCGTTATATTTAAAACTAGAACAAGTATAAGATTACCAGTACCATTACCTGTCTCATAGTTGTGATGTCACAGCCATTTAAAATTTAAGAAGAAGGTGTGTACATTACAAGTAGTGAATACAAAACATGTTTGTTTGAAAGTTATTAGTATTATTTAACCGTCTTATACTTCCATGACCTATCTACCTCCTTACAATTTTTTTGTTTGTAATGACAAGGTAATTAAGGTACAGATACTTATTGAGGTGTTGTTTTTTATTTATGTTGACACAGTACTGCAACTAATTACGTCTGAGATCTCATTTCCGTGTCATTCGTTGTTATTGTCCGATTTTTCGCAAATTCTTCCGCTTCTTCAACGGTATCAGGAAGTTTACAGTCAAGAGTCTCCGGCAACTTTAAGCAAAGAATAGCACCAATAAGAGGAACAACACCAAAAATGACGGGAGGTAACCAAGACTGCACTAAAACGAGGCCTGCAATGAAGGGTGCAGCCATAGAACCAATTCTAGCACACATCGATGAGGTTCCTACTCCTACGTTTCTAACAACTGTTGGAAATAGTTCTCCAGAAAAAATATACACTGCTGAAAAAGCTACCGCTAAACCACACATATCCACGCAGCTCAGAGTAGTCCTTAGCCAGCCCAGGTGTTCTGGTACTAGTGCTATAAGAATACAGGAAACACCAGCTGTTGTGTTGCTAATAATTAAAGTTAGCCTTCGTCCCCACGCCTTTACTGCCCATACCGAAAAACAAGTACTGGGAATTTGTATGACGGCAGATAAGGCAACGTTTACAAAAATATTTCCGCCCAATTGTCCAATGTATTGAGCACTTCCGAAAAAACAAAGGCCACATACAAACCAATTGAAACCAATGCACATGGTATACATTCTCATTGTAGGTGTCCGTACTAAATCCATGATATTACCACCTTGTTTTTCTTCACTGATTTCGTTTTTTTGCATGTAGTTATAGACATCTTCTTTGATACTTTCAGTAGGAAGTTTGTTGCGGTGAGCGGCCTTTTCCAGTAACTTGATGGCTTTTTCTTTTTTGCCAACTGTGAGTAGCCATCTTGGAGATTCCGGCAAAATCCAATAGTACGATATCAAAACAACAGATGGTAGAGATATCGCCAATTGAAAATACCTCCAATCTCGAAGGAAATATGAAAAAAGTGGCAACAATAAATGACCAATATTGAAGGGAATTTGATAAATAATTCCAATAGTTGTACGCCATTCAAGACCTATGTAAAAGATTTTGTAAAATTTCAAACATATAGAAGATACATATTATTTAGCTATACATACCTACTATTTCCATTATCAGTACAAAACTAATAACCATGGTTCCTCCTGTCGCCAAAGCGGCTAAAAATCTCATGACGAGAAACATAAAGAACCAAGGAGATAGAGCGGCGCCGGTTCCAGAGAGTACTTGTAATATCACTGCAGCTATCAATGGATCTCTTCGACCGTATCTGTCTGAAAAATATCCAAAAAGCATGCTTCCAAAAAGAATGCCAAGCATGGTGACGGTCTGGGCAAAACTTGCTAAATACGTTCGGCTGCATACTAGATCCCACTGAGTGATTATGGTTTCAGTAAAAATCGATCTGCAAATTTACAAGTCTAATATTTTTTAAGTACTACAATACCGTCATTAGAAAAATTGGTTTTACCTGTCAAAAATATGCTTCGTACAATCCGCCGAACACTGATCTGTTCCGTTTTCTATACAAGAAAAATCCGCTGGCGGGGCTAAGAAAACTATACTTAGCTGGTGCCAGGCGACGGGAAACTTGACCAAAAATATGATAAAACAGACTGTTATGTGCCATCGTCCAAATACTCCTATTGACTTTTGAATGATGTCCGAGTTTTCTTCGCTTTTTTCACTCATTGCTGAAAATGGTATGATTTAATAATATTACTTGTTGCAACAACAGTGTTTATTTTTTGATGTGCATGTGTTAGATTAGATATCTTCTGCTGTATTGTTGCAGTTCAAGGGTCACTAAATATAAAAAATAAAGAAAAAGGTCAAATGGCAAATTCGAATTATTTTCCATGAATTACAATAAGAATCTATGATATGTTTTTTGTGTGCATTTACAAAGATAAGTATTTTGTTTATAAATTAATTAAGTTATTACTTCCACAGTTTACTTTTTATGGTGTTAGTGTTTTAATGATGCATTGATGTCCATTTACTAGACGCCTCATAGATATCTCGAGATATCTATACTGCATTAAAAATAACAAAAAATCGAAATAGACAAATTTAGACAATGGATTATTGAGCTATATCTCAGAAGAATTATAAAACAAATACTGAAAACTGATCTTCCTAAATGTTATGACTGCCACATAGAAAAATGGAATAATAATAACATTTATTTTTCCGATTTCCAGAGTGCAACATTTTTTTGATTTATTATTATTTACTTTTAAAGCGAAAATGAATTTTCAAATTTTTTATTGCAACTTCTTTTAGTGTTAAAGTGTATGCATCCCCTATTTTTCATTTACTCAATAATAATAATCTTATCATGTAAGTGGAGACTGTTCGAGTATTTCAATGCTGTATATGGACCATTAAATCAACATGTCTATATCAAATATTAAAAAAAATATACATATATATTTTGGTCTTACAGTTTCGCACTTTTTAAATCCGCTGTAAAATAAATTGCCACAATAAAAAGGAAATTTAAAATATTATTAACACAATTATTAACAATGTAAAAAAACTAACAATAATATGTACAATATTATACATATATATAGATATAAACCGGAAAATAATTGATGATATTAAAAAAATTACTAATCATTTTGCCTTCTACTTTGTGATGATTGCGAATAAGAAAGTTTATAACCGTCTAAACCTCTCTGCAAATTTATGTTTCAAGTGTTCTCTGGTCTCGAATTCAATTTTTATTGAGTAATTGTCGTGGTGTCCTGTCAAGAGGTGCTTAATGTTATAAAAACTCGTAAAAAGTAGTTCGTTAGATATTGATGAGATCTCTAGTGGACTTCTAAAAAATTGGCGAATAGATTGGAGATTTATTTACAGTGTCAACAATAAGTCTCTTGAAACTTTCCAATAGTTACAAACTGCGTTTATTTTTACGATTTCCAAAGATCTGATTGTTACACATGTGAAAACTAATTTGTCTTCTAAATATCATATCAAAAATATTTGAGAAAATTATGTATAATAGTTATTTGTGGATCCATGGATAAACATATGTATTATTTGTGATCAACTAATCAACATGGGTTTCATCATCATAGGTAAAAAAGCATCATTTTTCAACTGTTGCAACATATTTAATTCTAGTTAGTAAATTTGACAAAGGTAATTACCACACTGCGCACTGGATTTTTTTTTTTATTTAACAAGATGTGCTTTTGATACAATTAATTTGCCATTTGTATTTATTAGATAAATTATATGTATATTGTTTAGCTATACAGAGACTTTACACGATAAAACCGGAACAGTCGATTTTACTGTTTCTTGTAATTGACTTATCAAACAATGTTATTTCTACTAATAACACAGTGTTTGAACATGATACAGCAATAACTGTCTCTGATTTGTAACTTGATCTTATGTTATGTGTGCGTTCTTGTAAGTTTTCAATGTGAATCGGTCTATTGATATAAACGCGATTCTTCAAATAGTCCCATAAAAAAAAGTCAAGCAGTGTCAAATTCGGTGAGCTAGCAGGCCACTCAATAGTGCCCTTTCGGCCTACAAAATTTTATTTGGCGTCTTTTTACTGCCAGGAAGTACACGGAGAGCATTTTGAGCATCTTTTGTAGAGCATAGAAGTTCAATTTTGGTTTTGGTTGTTATTGGTTAATTTATTTAATTTATTTTGCCATTTCAGCCAGAAAGAAAGTATGATTGTGCTGTATCAGTGAATTCAGAAAAAAGGCTCTAATCAAAAATGCATTAATTATATGGTGGTGCTATTTAAAAAAAAATCACTTGCTTGGACTATATCACCATTATACTGTATCATTTGAAAAATTATATAATAATATGTTGACATCCCAAGTAGATCTATTTAGTAGTAAACAACCTAAAAGGAAGTTATTTACAAAAAGATGTTTTTGCAAAGTTGAAAAGTACATATGTTTGTGCAGTACAGCCATTCAAGTAATTATTCTGTTTTAGTCATTTGTTATGTCCTTATTTTTTGACATACATACATTTAGTTGCAATGGCTGAACATCTATATTATTATTATTACTGTTATTATACATTTTTATGCACTATTTACTCAAAAATATTGCAGAGTAAACTTATATTATACATTTAATACAAGCTTTTAAAAAGTAGCACAAAAAAAATTGGTTGAAGTTTATTTAGACCTGGAGTATTTACAGTGCAACAAATCCTGCTTCTTTGAAAAATTTGATTTTCCGAAATTTTAATTTTTTAGGATAATTAAAAAAATATAGACGATACCAGTCACGACATAGCAGGACATTCTAACCAATACGCCACGTAGCATTGACAAGTTTACATTAGTATCAAAGGTTAGCATTCAACTTGGATTTTTTGCGAAAATTTGGAGGCTTACGCTGAAAACTCAGGCGGATACGTAAACTACAAGTATAGCAGTACCTATGTTATTTTATAACAAGTAAATGATTATATTTTTTATGTAAAATGTTGATAACGTCATTACATTCTTTGTGGGGATTGATTAGAGAAATTTTAGTCAGCGTTTCACTATATAAACAAAACAGTACTCTTAACATACATCTAAAATCTGATCGGTTCGTTAGTTTTGGAGATTGTCTATCAAATAAAAATTCACACAGACAGTAGCCATCCATTGGCCGGATGGATCCTGCTGTAATACTTCTTTTGGTTACGCACGGGAACTAAAGTGATAACCTTATTTCAAAAACAAAGCTGTCTGCATCTTGATAAAACCGGAACTATGACAATCAAGTTTGTGATACTTCAAAACACTTTTTTTTCTAAATTTCTGTGTTAAAATAGTTTTCTAAAAGTGGATCAGTTGCTTTTGAGTATATAGCAAAATAAGGACATTATATTGAAACTGCACCTGGTAGTTTCCTAAAAGAAATGACGCATTAAAGACTGAAAAAACACAAATTCTTTTAAAGAAGCTAATAATTGAGTGAGTATTCATGTTACTATACATTTCTTAGATTTATGCAAAAATAAATTAAAATACTTTTTCAGGGGAATAACTACTTTTTGATATTAGTTGTCATTTGTTTTAATGTATTAGGAAAAATTAATGCTTTTATAGTTTAATAACCGCATATTAACAGTCAATATTTATGTTATTCATATGTTGATAACGCCAAACGTATGTCTCCTGAGTGATTCAAATGCTACAATTGATTTAAAAAAATTTGCCGTTAATATGTGAACTAGTTATTAAAAAAAATTGTAACAGTAATTTGTTTTTCAATATATATATATTTGTTTAAAGTTCCTAATATGTGGTTTTCACATTGAAACAATAATAATAACAATAAAGTTAATTAAAATTAATTGCTACAATTAAGTTATTGCTAAAACTAATAGTCGTATATTTTATGCTCGTGTACATTAACTATATTTGTAATGTCCTATATTTGCAAACATCACAAAAAGCACAGTTGCACTTCAGATTTAACTGAAACTACTGAGTCTGCAAAAAACCAAAAAAAAGATGACAGTGGTTATTTAATAAAAGTTTTGTGTAAATTCATCCGGTGTGTTTCTTTTTGCCATGACTAAAGTAATAATTGTTTGACATAAGTTAATTTATGTAAGTTTAGAGGAATGAAAATTGTTGTAAAAACATAAGCTATTAGCAAGCTTATGATAGGATCAAGTAATTAGTAGAAATTTTTGCAGATTCTTTTCGTTTTCAATACAAATACTTTTATTTTTTTCCAAAAACTTTGATGAACTGTTTGTCAACTAAAACTTTATAGAAAATTGAAAGAATTCATCGACAACCCACGAACAGGTATTTAAAAATTTCGTGAAATAACACAGTTACCACTTTCAAAACTAGCTCCAACAATGTAAAAGTTAATAAATAAGAAATAATTTTAAGTGCAACACCGCAAAAATCGTTACAATCAAAAACTGATACATGATAAGTTCTTGTAAAATCGTTAGTTTCGTTTTGCATATATCCGTTGATAAAAATTAATGAACTTGTCTGGCTACAATAATAAACAACATTCTTAAAATATATTTAACTGATTTAAATATATAACGTGTCCCCAATTAAACATGTATAGTAATTAGTGCAAATGGTAGAAATGCTTACTAAATTACGTCTCAATTTTACATTGCTTTCACATTACCAACCGTAACCATTTAAAAGAAACAATACACACAATTTTCAATGCCAATTATTTTCTAATTTTTCGAATGTCATACCATATGCATAATTATTTCTTTATCATTTATCTTTAATTGTGTTTGAGATTATGAGATTAGAAGTTATATAGCTACTTGAAATTTAGTTCTAATTTATTTTAAAGAAGTTTGGCATGAGTTAAAAACTTACTAAAATAATGTTATGCAATAAACTTTTAGCAATAAATATATCCAGATATTTCAAAATATTCTTAATAAGTGTTTAAAAGTATTAGTATTGAATTTGATGTTGATCGAAATGTAGGGAAATTTAGTTAGTCACATTATACTGAAAACCTACGTTAGTAGGTAACTATATTATGTGATGAACTGATATTAAGGGCTCCGTTATAATACGTATACCGGTTAATTTCACATAATAAATATGTGTATTAATTTATACACAGTAATGACAAAGTTACGCACCAAATGTTGTAAAATTTTTATGGGTGTTAATAACGACAAAAGATAAATATATATGGAAACTTTATGTTGCACTGGTAGGCTGCGCATATTTGTTGTTTGGTGACAAAATAATATTTTAAAAAATTTGAGATCATATGGTTACCTGTATAAACAACGACGTTATCAAAAATGGTGCTTAGTAAAACATGATTACTTCTTTTGTTTGTGGGAAAAAATTTTGAAATAAAATATTTGAGTTATTCAAATAAATACTGAAAATGTTGTTAATAAAAATGATTGAAGTTTACGTGAATGATTTAAGATTAATGTAATTTCACATGACGCTGCCTGAATAGTTTTCGACATTCCTCTTAATTCTGCGCTGTTTCAGAAACTTCGTTAAATTGTTTTATAGATATGATTTCCACTGGAATATAGTTTCTAAATTTAGAGGTAATCCACAACACGACAATGTCAATGGATTTTTTGCAGGCAAACAACCTTAACTTTCTTCCGCATGAAATGTATTAGATTTAAGGTACTACTCTCCAACTTTAGTGTTCTGAATAAAAAAGTCATGTGATGAAACGTTACCAAAAATGCTAATCGCAATTCAAACAAAAATTTTAAATATAAACGGAATAAGACAGAATGGAACCGTTCAATATTTTTTCTGTAGCAGACAAAATTTGGTGTTATCTTAAGTATGTGAAAATTTAATGTGAACAGTTACAATAATTACTTAAAAATGAACTTACCCAATTCGAACTAAATTTCATTGATGTTTTTGTTAATTTATAAGTAAATATGTATTTATTATCACTATGTATATAACAGTATTAATTAGCAACTAAAACACTGCACACATGAACCGTACGATCGTAAGACGAGGCAGACAACTTTCATTCAATACAGCTCCGATAAATCTGAACGGTTCACGTAGCATGTAGTACACAGTATAGCACTAGACAAACTGGCAACTGTACCACGAGGTCACAATATTAAAACAATTGCAAACCAGATATGATTATGGTCCTATATGTACGAAGATGACGTATTATGTACTGTAAATACACTCCTGAACAAAAAAAAAAAAAAAACGGCCATTTGAATTTACGTAAGTAGTTGGTACATGTTTATAAAAACTTGGTTAAAATAAGCTGGACTATTTTGCACAAGGAGTCAGCACACATTTCACAGCCGGTAAAATGTAGTAACGTACCTTCTTGTTTTTTTAATCTGTTTTGTCCACTTGTGCGTTATGACTAAAATAATTATGTTAAAAGTTTCATTTATAAACATTCATATTGTTTGTTTTTTTTATCGCCACTGTCTTGTGTTTTCATATATAAGACAGTTTAGTTCAACCTTGCACTAAATTAGCAGTCAGTTAGACAAAAGTGTTTATACGTATAACATGTGATATATGTATAGGTAGACAGTACAATTAATATCTACGTTACCAGTGCTTAATAAAATAACTAACTTTAAACTGTCTCATTTTTTTGTTTGGTAGTGTATGAGCCATATATTAAGACGGAGTATAAAGTGTTATATTTGCAGTTATATAATTTGTATTTTAAAACAGCTACTAGTGATATTTTGGTATTTTGATGTTTGTATGCTTAGGTTTTTAACAATATTGAAGTCACTTTATGAGTAGTCTGAGCCACAAAATCTTTTTAAATCTAATTAAATACGTTGTATTTGCTACTTTGTTGATTTTGTTCTGTTTGATAAAACGCTAATATTACTGCCACTCACGTTCTTATGTTTTTAAATATGTACCTATCAACATAAACTATTTTTTATTGTATGCGAAAAGAAAACTAATTAAAATTAACGTCGTTTTCCTTTAAAATAATTTCATTTTTGACTAGTTTATTATGTGACAATATTATGATGAAGATAATGTGTTGTTTAAAGGTTGCGTCACATCAAAACATTAAAAACACGGAACTAATTGTTGCACCCATTTGTTACATCAGTTATAGAGAAAGCCGGTGAATAAATATGTACACTTCTGTCCCTATATTTACGATTACACTGCTTTAATGAACAAACAAATAAACATATCGGTAAAAGTGTGGAGTGATTAACTGCATATTAATTTATGCTACTAAAGTAAGCAAGTAAAAAAGATATTGGAATAACCTTTTCGTTCCAAATTTGTGCCAGCTATTTTCGCACATATTTTATAAATATTTGTGTTCACAAGAAGTGCCGTAATATTTTGGTTCGGGTTTTCCGAAGATAATGTTATTTGATGTTATGTAATGTTGAATGTGTCAGAGAAAATTGTGTTGGCTACACGGTTGAGTTATTAGTCATTTTAACAGTGTGCGGAATTAAAGTCCAAACTTTTATCAGCATATTCTCTGAGTAAAAATAGCACAAAATTATTGATAAATATACTTTTTTAATTAATTTAAAATGATGTAAGTTACAATTACAATTTGTATGAGTAATTAGCGGTCGATAAGATATATTCCACATAGAATTTGTAAACATTTGACGAGATAATCTTGGACTTCTTCAGTTTGTTTGGCATTAAATTTTCTACAGTTTTTGAAATATTAGAGAAAAGATTTAAGATTAAAATCGTAAATTATGACCTTCAACCTATTTTTAACCTTTGTATATTTTTGCGAGACGTTACCGTTTCAACTAAAACCTCTTCGATAACATAGTAATAATAAGAAAATTACTCAGCAATTTGTAAACATCCACGATTAAAACGTGGCAATTTTTTTATTAAGACAAGGTTGATTAAACTAAGAATTATTGTAAATTTTTTAATTTTTATATAATATATACCAGTTCTGTGCTTATTTTAAGTTCAATAAAAACAATTTATTCAAAATAATTGAAAGAAGTTTGAAAAAACCTTGACTCCTCTTTGAAAAAACGTATAGAATTGTCGACTTGTTTCGAGGTAAAATATTGACTTTACTACTAGGGTCACAAAAGAAGATATACGTTATGTATGAAATACTTGAAAATAAGCGAAATAGTGTCGTCATCAAAAATTTTCAAATGTCTAACTTTAACAGCCACTGCTTTGATGTAAATTTTTAATGAACTTAAACATGTTGCGTCAAAAAATTGAAATTTTATTTTTCCAATTTATTGTCGTACACTTTCTACTAGTGAAAAAAATTGTATACTAACCACCTGTGTGAAGCTAATTCTAGATCTCGCGGTTAAGAGCCCTCGACGTTGTGCGACCCGGGTTCTAATTTGCGTTGGGTCTAGAATGATTGTCTTCACAACCTCGGTTAATAATTTACTATGATTTTCTTCTAGAGTCTACATGTTTCCGTATCCTTGTAGTTTAAGGAAAACGTTAAAATTAGATTCAAAACTTTGACAACTAATTGACAGATTCATTAATTTAACAAAAATTTAAATGCAGCGACACATTAAAAAGATAATTTCATAACCCACTAGATCCAACTCAATTGTAACATCCTGTATATATCTTTCAAGCTACATTTTTATTTACAAGGAGTGAAGATAATATCATAATAGATGCAGTGTATTTTTTAAAAACAAAGGTAAGTACAAAAATTGGTCAAGGTATATATAGTTTAACAAATTTGCTGACATTTGTTTTTTTTATGAAAAATACTATAAATATAGATAATATCAATTGAGAGTGAAATCAAAATTGGTCTAAGGTTAATCAGAAAGAAGTTCCCTCACCCCCGAAATACAGGGAACAGCTTCTTCGAAAAACGATAAAATTTAATTTTGGGAATTTTATTTTGTTTATGATAATCCCTATAAGTTAAAATAAATATATATGTGGATTGTCAAAGTACAGGTGAAAAATGCGTATGTTTCAAGTAAGTTTTTCTATAACAAAATTTTGTGATGTCGTAATTAGCATATTACCAAGGGTACATATATTAATTTGATTGTATGCAGTATTACTAATAATAACACTACACTGTTTATTCAAATTCTAGGGAAAATAGGTTGAGCCGTTCTTGATTTGATCAATAAAATATACAGGGTGTTTCATGAGGAATAATGTGCCTGAAAAAATTTTTGATGTAACCAATATTACTTTTCTCAATTTACTTCGCTATACTTCTTTAAAAAGTCATAGTTTTAATTCACGATGCCCATGAATCATTATCATTGGCATTTTTTGAAAAACTCTATTACAATTTGTGCAAAATGTATACCTATTCAAATGATGAGAAGACACAATTTTAGTGTATGGAGAATGTCTGAAGAATGCATCCCTTGCTGCACCTGTTTAGCTCAAGGATCACTCGAAAGAAAAGCGCCTTTTGACACGATTTTTAAAAGATTGAAAAATCAGTTGAGAGCTAATTGGCGTCCCGTCCAGTTATCAAAGCAAAAGGAGCTACCGGTGAGGAACACGAACTAAAAGTCATTCAAATTCTTGAGGGGGAACCCAGTGTGGGACAATGCGAATTAAAAAGAAGGATAAGCATTAGCCAGTCTTCTGTTTGCAAAATTGCCAAAGAAAATAAGCATTATTTTTATCATGTCACCTTGGTCCAAGAGCTATAAAAGACTTCATTTTTGTCGATTTGTTTAATAAACCATTTTAGATCACTAGTTTTTGGAAAATGTGTTTTCAGTGATCATCTTTTAGCAACAATCGGGGTGTAAATAAACATAATTGTCACCACTATGCCCAGAATAACCCCCGCTGGATTCGCGAAGGACACTTTCAGAGAGTTTATTCTACAAGTGCTTGGTATGGAATATTGGGGAACAAAATTTTAGGATCATCGTTTTTTCACGAAAGATTAAATGGTCAAGTGTATTTAAATTTTTTGAGAAACATTCTGCCAATGTTGTTAGAGGAGGTAGATTTACAAAGAAGACTAAACATGTGGCTTCAACAGAATGGTGCACCTCCGTATTTCCACACAGACGTGAGACACTATTCAGACTCAGTGTATGCAAATAGGTGGATAGGTAGGGGTTCAATTAATCCTTGGCCCTCTAGAAGTCCTGATACAACTCGACTAAACTACTTTTTTTGGGGAATTGTCAAAGATCGTGTCTACCAAACACCTATCAACAACAGGGAAGAACTGGAACATCGAATAACTGTCGCTTGTACATCTATAACGCCAGCGATGCTTATGAGTTATGACTCTTATGAGAGTGAGAAGATCTTTCTGCAACCGCATTGACGCATGCGAAAGAAGTGGTGGACAGTATTTTGAACATCTCCTTAACCGATTTGCTCCGTTTTTATGTTCTGTTCGTGATTAAAACATCTTTTCCGTTACTACTTCGCTTATTTGAATATTTTATGATTTTAATGCCAAACTGACAAACTTTTAGATATGCTTGGTATGTTTACATATTTATTAAAAATAGAATTTTGAATCTATATACGAGCTCTGCAAAGTATTGTTGACTGCATCAAAAATTTTTCAGGCTCCTTATTCCTCGTGAATCACCCTGTATTGTCTCAAAAATAAAATAAACTAAAATATACATATATATTAAATGCATTGATTAACATAGGTTATCCAGGAGTTTTGAAATTTTCGCTGTGCCATCGAATCAAGAGATGAATTACCGACGTCGGATGCGCTCCGAATTAACATAATTGAAAAGATTTCCGCGTCCGACAGCTGCACACAGCGTAAGCGGCACATCCGACGCACTGGACGTTAAAAAAATGGCAGCTAGCATGGTAACAAAGACGAAAGATGGTAGATGTTAGATGGTAGGACAACGAGGAAAGAGCGGAAGCAAGCTGTAGTCACACGGGACAACGTGGGCTCAAAACTTCACTACTTCAAGTGCGGACGGCCAGGGCACAAGGCATCCAAGTAAACGAAAGGGTGAGACCGAGAATCATACATGAAACGGGTACTTGAAGGTAACGGAGCATGAGACGATTAATCCAAGCCTGGTACAACGAGTTGGACCAATTTACGAAGCTCAACAGCCCGAAGAGGGGAACGTTAAATCTTGCGAAGGAAAC